AGATCCTTTGTGTAACAGTGGACTATAAGGGGGAAAAGGAAAGTGATAAATAATTTTTTTTTTGAATAAGTATTGACATTTGTGATCATAAGAAATAAATAAATTTTGGAAACAATGCAATGATGTTCGGTATACCTTTTCGTCGATGAGTAGAAAATATACACTCATGAGTTCATCACCTTTTTTGACATTTCGAACTTCCCAAAAAACGTAATAATCGATCAACTATTCGCTGCGTTGGTCGACCAATCCGTAAATCAGCGAGCATGTAGCATGAAGGAAGAGTGTCAAATCCAAATGGAGCCATTAGCGAATTAAAAACAAATATAGAGCTGGTGTGTTTTAGACTTTCGTTCAAATGTGAGTACTTTCTACTTAAACAGGAAGGAGTTTATAATGGAGCATACACTTTCTTTCAAGTTGCATAAGGAAACATTAATGGGATTAAAAGGATTGCAACTCCAATAAAGATTTAATTAAATTAGGACAAATCATTTGTAACTTTCCCACTAAATAATTGAATAAGGGGATATGAATCGTCTCGTAATTGGTGTTGACCACTTCGCCACTATGTGTTTATATAAATAATTAGGATTTATTCCTATAAAAACGTTATTACCTTTAATTGTATGGTAACCTCCACGTATTTCTAGTTTTAATACACATATTAGTGGTGTTATTACTGCAGTAGTTATACACATATTAGTGGTAGTAATACTAACTTTTATACCTTTCCAAATTCTCTTTTTAATCCCATTTTAAAATAAAACATGCGTGCATACTTATACACATAAAATATATACAATTATATGTGTATACAATCAAATACACGTTTATATATATATAAGCATACATATATACATATATACTTATAAAGTTGTACCGTTTATTTTTTAAACTATATATTATGTGGGTAAAATTTATTAGGAAGTTACAAATTTTACTGTTATTTTTATTTAGTCTAAACGCAAAACATATATACATAATAACAACACCATGGTTGGTTGCTCCTTTGTATTTGTTTTATATTTGGTTTTCTCATAGAGGATTTCGTGGTCATTTCAATTACGTTATTTCGTTTCAGTTTAATTTAATTTAGTTTAGAATAGTATATCTACGGTTGCAACCCGTTTTAAAATATTCTTTTGGTTTTTTGTTCAATTTGATTTTCTAGATTAATTTCGAATTCTTTTAATTTTTTGAAAAAGGAAAATCGCCAAAAAAAAAAATTATGTACTCTTTCTGTCCGGATCAATTAAAAAACTCTACCCTTTCTTTCTAGATCAATTAAAAAACTCTATATTTTTTTTAACTCTTCTCATGGCTTATCAATGTGTATATATATATGTGTATCTATATATATATATATGTACAGTGTACTTATATACGTAATGGTCATATTTATAGTCCCTTTTCTCCCTCGTTGTGGTCCCACCACCAAGTCGCATTCGCTTCCTTTTACTAGGAACCTGCAGCAGCTGAGTTCTGGCGTATAAACTTCCATTTTGACATTTTTCATTCTACCACCACCGAGTCGCGATCTCTATGTATTTTATTTATTATATATATATATATATATATTATTTTTAAATTTTAAAGTTTTTGGTAAAATGAGTTTTTTCTAGACGCCATTGCCGATATGGCTTTCTTCACTCACAAAGAAAGATGAAAAACGCATTGAAGAACATAACCACCAAGGGCAGCATGAGTAACATTCTCCGAGCCTCCTCTTCCGCTGCTGGAGGCGGTGCCGAGCCAGACGTACCAGGTGTGTGCGTTAAATTCAGATTTTTACTGCAGAAATGTTGATTGAGTTTGGTATGTCTTTATTTTTCGATTCTGAAACAAAAGTGTTGTCTGAAAAATAACACTAGGCCTGGAGAATTTGTGTTTCATTTGCTTCTCCTATTTTTGTTTCATGAGTTCTAATGTTTTTGTGATAGATATTTTCGATACTTGTATCAAATTTATAAAAGTTAACCGATCAAGTCCAAAAATCCGGGGTTCAGACCTAAGTTTCTTATACTTGACAATTTTGGTGCAAATGTGGTGCAGATTTCTTATATTTGATAATTAGGGTGTCAATTTTGGTGTAATTTTGTTTCTATTTGTATGCATTATATCGATTCAATAAAAAAAATTGTAATAAATATATATTATATGATGGTGACATAAGAAAAATTAAAATTAAAATAAATATATATTAAAAGGAAGATGAGAGTAGTCACCATACAACACTCACAGCACACCAATCACAAGATGGAGAATGCAGAACAAGACACAAGGAAAGCAAGTGCTTCCAACATAGGAGATGTTGACATTGAGCCAGAAAGCCTTGAATTTCAGACATTTTAATCCTGTAAACATCAGCTTCAACACCTTCTTTGTTGGGGGAGCTTATTCAGTGGAGCATATCCTTCTTGTTGCCCTTATTGACCATGTTTTTCAGTATGTTCTTCATCTCGTGTCTTGTGTGCCTGTGAGTGATGTGAATAAAATCAGATGAGAAAGGGTTTTAAGTCATACTCACCTGACTGCCAAGTTGGCCTTCAAGCGTTAGTGTGTCTGATTTGGGCAACTCCAGAATCTTCAGAGATCGACATGCCTTAGCCGTGCAAAACTCAACAAACTTGTATGTGATCGCATTCAATTCTTGTCAGATTCGTCGGCCGACCAATGTACCAATCTTCTTGAGGAGTTGTATTTTGCCATTTGCTTCTCCTATTTTTGTTTTACGAGTTCTAATGGTTTTATGATGGATATTTTCAGTACTTGTAACAAATTTATAAAAGTTAACCTTTTATAAAAAAAACATTTTTTTACGTTTAATGAAAATTTGTGTTTCGTTGCTTCAGAAGATTTAATGTTGATCGAAGGTATAGATCAAGTGAATAAAACATGTTTTCCCAAGTTTAATTTGATTGTGCATTACTTTCCATATGTAAATATATAATAACAAAATGTAAAACTCTTTATATATATATACATATATATATATATCTATCAAAGACATAACCAAAATATGCGGAACACACAAATATATCTATATATCTGACAATGATATGCTGTTAAGATTAATATTTTATCATCGAAAATATTGTGTACATGTATATATATATAAGTATATCTGAAAATTTTTGTGAAAATATGTTTTGAAAATCTAGGGTGTCAATTTAGATTTGAGATCAGAAATCCGGCTCAATCGAATCAAAAAATTAGCGGACTCAGACCTAAGTTTCTTATACTTGATGATTTTGGTGCAATTGTGGTGCAAATTTCTTATATTTGATAATTAAGGTGTCAATTTTTTTGACGAATAAAGAAACATAGTCTTAGATACTTAATTAAAGATTTGATGGAAGATTATACATCATCAAGCCATTGGTTGTTAATTAGGAGGATTGGAGGAGGATTTGGTGGATAATTGAGATTTTTTTTCCTTCTTTACTCCCAATTTACACAACTTGCGATCTTTATTTAGTTAGATTTATTGTTCTTCCTCTTTTTCATGTACATAGACGTTGGTAGTTTATTTCTTTCCTTAGTTTTTGTACTTTTGTTTCTTATTTAATCTATTGTAATATTTAGAAGAGATAACACGAAAATATACAACATTTTCTCTAAGTTTTTGTCTTCACTTGTTCTTTATACATTTTCATTGTCTTCTCTTGCTTATATCATCAAACCAAGATAATTCAATCGTAAATTCTTCATTTTATAACAAATTTTGGTGCAAGTTTCGTATACTTGACGATACCATGATTATGATTCCATCAAAATTCTGACAACTTTGGAGCTTGTATGGATTTATATAGGAAACAGAAAAGTTTTTCGAGATTTTGGAAGATTTCCATGTGGAATTCAGTCCTAAAACATATGAAAGAGTTCACGCTTTTTAAATCCTATTAAAGTTGATAGTGGTTAAAACACTAATTTTTAAATTTTTTGCGCGACAAATTCTTAAATTTATAAATTGGACATACGTATATATGTGTTGTATATATATGTAGGTATGTATGTCTTTTTTTATTGTATATATATATATATCATTTTTTTAAGTTTTTGGTAAAATGTCATTTTTCTAGTTGGCATTGGTGATGTGGCCTAGGTGATTTGTGAGTCTGGTGAACCAACCCCAGTGCTCTATTCCATCAAATTTCTGATAAGGTTAGAGTTTTTGTATGAATTTATATAGGAAATCGAAAAGATTATGTACGTATTTTACAAAATTTAAATTTTTTTTTTTATTTATGAAACATTAAAAGTTGACTTTTTTCAATAATACATGCCATTTATTTATTTATTTTAATAAAAACACTGTATAATGAGGAAAGTAAATCTATGCTGACTATACATTAAAAAAAGGTAATATAACAATGTAAATGTATTGATTATTTTATTATGATATTTGTTGATGTAAATTTAATAAAAAAATGATATATATTATTTATTAGATGTCAGAAAAATATATTTATAAGATTAAATTATTGTAAAATCGTCGTTATATTATATATGTTATGTATAAAGGAATTAAGAAGTGAGGAAATATAAGTATCGTTACGTATTATTGCGATTCTTTCTGTAGTAGATTTGGTTTATGTTTTCTATCAAACGAATAATAATTTATTAAAAATGCTTGCAGGAGAAAGCATTCTGGTCAAAACATGTAAATAATTTTAGGCCACCCTCCCAAAATGATTACAGATCGGCTTTTGTCGTAAGGATCATCATCAAATGCTGAGTTGGCAACTTTTTGTTTAAATAAAAAAGCGTTTATGATTATTTGTTGCAAGCCTTTATGATTTAGAAAATTCGCATATCTTATTTATTTATTTACCATGATGATGAAATTAACGGGTCCAAATTACCCATTAAACTAAAAAAAATAAAGGATCACATTAATATCATAAATTTTCGAAAACAAGTTGGTGCAAGGTTATTTTGTAAAGTTTGAATTTGTTTTTTAAAAAATATATTTAAATTTAAATACGATTGGACTATTCTTACATATTGTTATAAGTTTTCACAAGCTGAACTGATTAGTTCCTGCGTAAATTTTGTCTTCCATTTTGTTCTTGGCTCTGATCAGGCAACGAGATTCCTCTTCTTCCGTACGGTTTCGGCTTGATTCATGGTTTTTTTATCATTCTTTTTGCCTGTTTCTACTTTTTTAATTCGAGAAATTGATTTTGTTGGGTTTCTTGCTTGCTTGTTTTCCAGGAAAATTTAGGTCTCTTTTAGCTTTACGGAGTGTCAGAAAAGGGAAGAAAGATTTTGTTGATTTTGTTTCGGATTGGTGAATTGATTCTCCGGTGGGATTGTCATGTTCATCGTCGAAGAATATTGCGTGCAAGGTTTTGTTCTGGATCTCTTCAAACACACGGATTAGGGTTTCGTCCTTGAAGCCAAAGTCCGGCTTTCATGGACGATGGTGGTAGCCCTGGCAAGATAAAGATATTACAGGATCAATTCGGAGCTCTTAGTCCAATCCCAGAAGCTGTTCAAGACGATTCCCCATCATCTTCACAGCCAAGAACCGATAATTCTTTCAGGTGATCCAATTTCTTCAGGAGAAAGAAGCGATTTTAGTTCACATTACTTAGTTTTTTTTTCTCTTGCTGTTGTTTATAATAGCAGAAAACTGAAAAGAGCTGCACTGATGTTGAATCTGTTCTCTCCTCGGCGTCTCTCATGGGTCTCGAATGGTCAGGAGAAGGTTCAATTTGCCACCTTCCTATTGTTCATATGTTGGAATCATAATCTTGGAGGGTTTTTCATGATCACCCACCATGCCCGGTCCGCAGGTAGAGCTATTGGCTACAGAATTAGAATCACTTAGATCAGAACTTGCTGATTTGGAGGAAAGGGAAGCTTACCTGAAAGCACAGTAAGTCAGTCTCAATAGTTGCTGTTGAGTATTGAATCTTAGAATATGTACTGTCCTAAGGTCGAAACCATAGATCTCATCCATTCTCCTCTGTCGATTCGACGAAGGTTGGAACATGTGGATGAAGTCGTACGCTCTGCCCGTTTATCCGGTTATCTGTATATTCGAACCGTATGTCCCCATCTCTACCACTGACTTTTGCTTCATGGTGTTCAGATAACTGCATATAGTATGTAACAGTTTTGTCTGATTGGGTTTTTACCGAAATTTACAGAGGTGGATGGCTCTCCCGGGTGAGCCGCCTCCTTTAGACGATACAGAAGTAGACGATTGGCTTCCCCGATTTGTTGTCCTTCAGGGTGCTTGTCTTTTCTTCTATTTATTGTCAACGGGCAAGTGCCTTTTCACTCTTACCACAGTTACAGACCTTCTTGTTTCTAATTCTGACATGTTTTCTTTTCTCATAACTTCTCTTGCAGATTTGAGCCCACAAGATTCAACCTTGCTAGCCGATATCACTGAAATCGGTTCCTTACCGATGTTCAAAAGAGTCTCTGATGAAGTCTACCACTGCTTTTACATTTTGACCCGTCAAGGTCTACGATTTGAATGCTCAGGTTCCTCTAAGACACAGGTGAACCCGATTGCTTTGTACAACTTATCAAACAAAACATAGATCCATTGATGGGGATTCTTCGTGTTACTTGCACCTTAACAATATCACATTAGTATAAGTTCGAGATGATGATTGCCTTTATAAATGGCATTGTTGCTCTCTAGTTGCTGTAGCTGAGACATAGGTATAGGGTCTGGTCAGATGAACTATTTCCTGCCATTTGCCTGAATGGGATCTCGCTGGACCCGAACCTAGACCTCACTTGCAAATTTATTGGGCATGTACAAGCTGTTAGCGTGTGCATGGAAATGCAGCTTCTTTAGCTCCCATTACCAAGAACACCACTCACGATGTCTTAAACTGAAACTGACGGATCCTGCTCCACAAAAACACATTTTGAATGGGATTTCGATCTGTGATTTTTCTTTTTCATTTTATTTTTCGGTTAATTGGGTTTCAGGTAGAATCATGGTTATCAGTGTTGCGCAGTGATTGCAAGATGAGGCTCCCAGATGGATCAGCTGAAACGCAACATTGATTTAAATGGGGTTATATGCATGTACAGTTGGGTTCAGATGTATATATGCTTTTCCTTTCCACGAGGGAATCGATTTCACTCGTGGACCAACAATAACAACACCATGGTTGGTTGCTCCTTTGTATTTGTTTTATATTTGGTTTTCTCATAGAGGATTTTGTGGTCATTTCAATTACGTTATTTCGTTTCAGTTTCATTTCTGTTAATTTAATTTAGTTTAGAATAGTATATCTACGGTTGCAACCCGTTTTAATTTTTTTTTTTTTGACTTTTTATTCAATTCGATTTTCTAGATTAATTTCGAATTTTTTTAAATTTTTTGAAAAGGCAAAATCGTCAAAAAAACAAATTCTCTGCTCTGTTTTTTAGATCAACTAAAAAATTCTATATTTTTTTTTATTTACCAATTAAACTCTATACTCGATGTGATTAACCCATAAAACTCCGAATTTTTTAAAAATTCGCCGAAAAACTTCTGTGTTTATCAACTCAAACAAAAATAATGATGTGCCACAAAAATAATGATATATTAAATTCATATATATATATATATATATATATATATATATTTATATATATTAATATATATTTATTAATATATAATATATATAAATATAAATAAAAAAATAAAATAAATATTTAAAAATAAAATAAATATATATATAATATCTATTAAAAATAATATGTATATATATTAGTTATACCTGCAATATATACATATACAATTAATATGCATACTAAAATAAAAATAATTATAACTAATATATATATATATATACAATATATATTAAAAAATAACATGTATATATATATTATTTATAATCGTCACACTCATCGGCATATATACTATAATCGATGTATTTTTTAAAATTGTCTCAGCTAGGGATGTCAAACGAGCCGGCTCGGACCAGCTCGGACCAACTCGTTTCGAGCTAGCTCATTTTCAGCCCAGCTCGTTAAGCCCATTTTTATTTGGGCCAGAAAATTCCTGGCTCAGCCCAAGTCGCTTAGCTCCCGAGTCGGCTCGGGAGCCGGCTCATATTTTTCTAAATACCTAAAAAAAAATCATATCAAATTATATAAAATCATATCCAAATGATATATCAACATAAAAAGAACATACCAATACATCCAAATCATACTTATATTCACAATCACAATCCATATACAAAAAATCATTTTCAAATAAATAAAATCATAATCCATCCATGTACAAAAAACTATTTTCAGATCCTAATCCATCCATATACAATTAGATCTTAATCAATGTACAAAAAACCATCTTCAGATCCGAATCTATACATAAAAAATTATCTCCAAATCAAAATATCATACCAACAATATCAACCCTTTCAAGTTTCAACGTAAATTTTTTTTTACTCCACCTCCCGAGCCAGCTTGCGAGCCAGCCGAGCTAGCCTCGTTTGGGCTCGGATCGTGGCGAGCTGGCTCACTCAGCCCATTTTTATTTGGGTTCAGATATTCTTGGATCGGCTCGGTAAAAAAAAAGGACCCACCCTCGAGCCGGCTCGCGAGCTCGGCTCGTTTTGACATCCCTAGTCTCTATCAAATGGATATGTTAAGTTTTGGAGTATTTGACAAATTTGATATTCTTTTTGTGGGTTGTTTTCCTTTTCATTAATTTATCGGATTTCCAAAAACTCAGATACGGCAAGGCCTTTTCTTGGAAGATTTGGTCCAATAATCCCTTTTAATTACAAATTAGTAAAATAATATTTGTTTTAAATTCTTGACAAAATAACCTTTATAAATAAAAAATAAATTTTAGCAATGGGTTAACGGTGTTTTTGTGTCCCTTTACAATGTTAAAGAAGTAAATATTTTACAAACATTACTAAACTTTGAGGGAAATTAACTAATTTTTTCCTCAATAGATGTTTGTTAATGTAATACATGCAAACCATTCTAGAGACAACCCGATTTTGGTATGGCGTCGTTTTACTAGGAGGAGGACAGCGTATCTTCAAAAGCCAGCAAACACGAGGCCTTAAAGGACATTTCAATGTCCTATTTGAACCAGTGTGCTCTTCGTCCATCTGTCTATTTCCCTTTTTCTCGCCTTCAATCCCCAAAATTACAGATCAAATCTGAAATATAGTCCGTATTTCGCAGAGTTCCTCGAAGATCTAACCCTCCGCTGAGTTTGATCAAGGTACATTTCCATTTTTTCTTCCATGTTTTTCACCTTTTTTTTGGGAATATTTCCTCCAATCTTCTCAAAATCTTGAGATTTGTCCGAAAATTTTTTCCCCATTAATCCCCTGTGTATTGCTGAGGCGATGTTGTGAGCGCTTTTTCCTGTTTGCAATGGTCTAAAAGATCATGCACTCTGTTCTTGTCTCGTTTCTGTGCGCGATTTCAAGTGCTATTTATCGGCATTTTCTTCGATCGAACTTGTTTCGTTTGTTTGTTGTTTTCCCCCTAATTTTCTGAAAAACTTGTGGTGGAAATGGTAGATATCTAGACATCAGACAGTATCTAGAATCAGCGGCAGAAGGGCATTATCCAGATTCCAGTCGGTATCAGCCTTTCTGCACGGATATACCTTTGAACACTGTTCACTGCTGTGAACTAGGGTTCTTGACTCGATCGTCATCTCTTCTCATTTTGCAATCGTGATCGATATTCCGCCATACCCATTTCTCACTTGCTGTTCCAGATAGTGAAAACCTCAATGTCGGTGCCAAACTTCATCAGGAAAGGGTGTCTTGGTTAACCATTTGCTGGTGGAAAACCCTAGATTTTGTTTAGGAACAACATGATTTATTTATTTTTTATATTCATGTGTTTTCATGGTTGAACTTTTATATTGAGTAGAAGATAGAACCAAAATTCCAGATTCCATCGACCGTGATGATTCCTACAAAAGTCTCTTGCGCAAACAGTGATGTATCTTTGTTGTTGTTGTTGTTGTTGTTTTTTCCTGATCTCCGGCTTGTTATCGTGCCTGCAGATTTACGTTTTAAACGCGAAGAGTCGAAGGACGGGAGATAACACAGAGACGTAATGGCGTCTGAGAGAGAGGATTTCAGCCTCTCGGGGCCATTGCACCTAACAGCTATAGATTGGTAAAGCACCTTTCATCTCCTCTCGGATTTATAGACATGACAATACGTTTTATTACTCTTTGAGTTTGTTCTGTCCAAAAGCCGATTGTCTTCAGCCTGTCTGCACATCCTGCATTCACAAACTATGGTATTAGTTGATGTTTAGAGCAGCCCCTAGTGTGTGTGTGGATATATATATAGCATATGCTTTTTGCTGTAAACAACTGTCTTGTGCAATGCTGTTTCGCCAAATGCTGCTCTATTATGCTGTTTCCGGATGAGGGGTCATATTCACATTGTTGAATTGCGCAGGGCAAATGAACATCACCGGCGGTCTCTAGCTGCCTGTTTGGTCCAAGGCATCTATATTGCAGAGCGTGACCGCCAGCTTCGACGGGAAGGTTCTGAAGCTCTAGCTCCTCCTTGGTCAGAGTTTTTCAATTTCCGGCTCATACGTCATCTCGTGGACGATGCTGATTTCTCCATTTTTGGAGGTATCTATGAGTACAGACCGCCCTCATCGTCCTCCCATTCTATCAAATCGCTGGAACTGAGACCGCGTTATGTAATCGCTTTCAGAGGAACGCTCACCAAACCGGATTCTGTTTCCCGGGACATCGAGCTCGACATCCACATTATCCGGAATGGGCTTCACAGGACAACCCGTTTCGAGATCGCCATCCAAGCAGTCAGAAGCATGGTTGCCGCCGCCGTTGGTAACGGTTCCTCCGGCATCTGGCTTGCCGGGCACTCTCTCGGAGCAGCCATGGCGTTGCTGACGGGAAAAACAATCGCTAAGACTGGGATTTTCCTAGAATCGTTCGTCTTCAACCCGCCATTCTTGTCTCCTCCGCTCGAGAGAATCAAGGACAAGAGGATCAAACATGGGATACGGATTGCAGGTATCGAAAAGGTTTACATTGATACCACTTCGATTCTTAACGTTTGTGTTATCATATGACCCCCCGAGATTCGCAGGGAGCGTGATCACAGCCGGGCTTGCCCTAGCTGCAAAGGCAACCCAAAACCATCACCACCATGGCCAACAACACAGAGCAGCACTGACGGGGAACGACCCATTCACCGCCTTGTCTGAATGGCTTCCTCGGCTGTACGTGAACTCGAATGACCACCTGAGCTCGGAGTATGTCGGCTACTTCGAACACAGGAAGAAGATGGAGGAGATCGGGGCCGGTGCCATAGAGAAGCTGGCGACTCAGCACTCGTTGGGCGGGTTGCTGATGAATGCTGTGACCGGAGGAAAGAACGCTGCCATGGCGGAAGAGCCGATCCATCTGATCCCGTCAGCGATCGTTACGGTGAACTCGAGCCCCTCGAGGGATTTCAAGGAAGCTCATGGGATTCACCGGTGGTGGAGAGATGATCAGAAGATTGAGTCCAAAGTCTACAAGTACAAATGAAATGACCCTAACCTTCTGAAAACCGGGATTATTTTTCTCGGCATGTGTATTGTAAACTGGAATCTGGGTTACTGGTAATGTTGTGAGAGAACAGATGATGATGATGATGACGACGTTGTTCTTGTCTGACCATACCTCCCATGTGTAAGCTCATGGATCCGAATGGTCAAAGTCAAACGAGAATATGTAATGTCTGTTTCATTTAGTTTCTGATTTGATTTTGCTTGATTTGGTTTTGGGTAGAATTTGTTATAATTTTATTTGTTTTTATTTAAAGAATGCATTTTTATAGAGAAGAATTACTTCAATATGATATCAGAATAAAATCAAATCTATTTGAGTTTTTTGGTTTAATTCGATTTTAACGAGATTTCTTTGTTTTCAAAAGAAATTCTAAATTACTGGTAAAAATTGAAAACATTCACTTTAAATATAAAATAATCGAATCAAATTTAAAATTAACAAAATAGTTAAATATAAATAAAAAAAATTCCAACGAATTCTAATAAAATCAAAATATAAATAATTAAACCAAACCACGTCGTATATTTTTTTCGGTTTCGAACAGAAAGTCCAGATAAGGTGGCAAAAAGGATGTCGTATTGCGACGGATAATTTACCTAAAATACCCTTGGAACTAAAGGCTATTTCCTAAAGTGACCCTCTGGTTAACATTGCCGTGGGACGTGGCCACTGGCCAGTAACGGTGTTGGAGAAGTTGACACTTGCCATTTCTCTCTTCCTCCTCCTGCCGATTCTAGTTCTAGGGTTTACTCGCACAAAGCTCTTAATTTCATCGTCCTCGAAGATATTCCCCTCTAGGGTTCTTGTTCATATATTGCGAAGCTTTTATGTCTCATCAATTGGAATTGGCTCCTCTCGCTTCCTCTCGTTCTCTCCGCGGCATCGTCAGCCTCTTCTCGTCGTCTAAGCGGCCATAGTCACCGTTCTCTCACTCTTCCTGGCTCTCTTCGCTGTCCGATCATTCCCTCCTAGCAAAAATCTCGATAAACCGGCGCCGACGCTGGCGAACGGTAGGGTTAACGGCAACCCAGATTCCGCACCGGAGGGCGGCGGCGAAGGAGCGGAGGTGACGGCTTCCACTGTGAGGAACGGGACGGTGGTCGCTGACAATAAGCCAGTTGTGTCCATGATGGAGCAGTTGGTACCGGAGATAACAACCCATGCGCTCAGCTACTTGGATTATCGTAGCTTGTGCCGGTTGTCCATGACGAATTCCAGGATGAGGAGGGCTGCTAACGACGATAATGCCTGGAAAGCTCTTTACCATAAGGTAATTCGACTCGGTAAATCATTCTGCTTGTAGTTTTGTAATGGCAATTTCTGAGTTGTTTGGTTTCTTCGAGTGTTGGGTTTGAGGAACTGTCTCCAAGTGTCTCTGGTTCTAGGGTTAGCTCTGTTCGGAAATTGGGTTTACGAAATAGTTTTGAAATGTTTAGCTTATAGTGACGAAGCCCTTGCTGTTTAGCTGTTGATCGAAGAAAGAATGGAAATTCAGAATAGTTTCGGGTTGGAAAGTTAAAATCTTTCTTCAGAAGATTCTATTTGCTCTCGGGGTTTTCCTAATCTGATTGTGCTGAGCGATCTGGAGTTTTGCCTTTGCATCAATCTTGTGAGTATACATCTCCTGGTTAGCTTTTTTTGTTTTTGGATCTATGGCTTCTGTGTTCTTATTTTGTGAATGTGTGGAAACTCTTTGATCTGCATAATTGCTTCTATGGCATGGTGGTTGAGTTATGTGATCACTTATGTACCTTTTGTGTTGTTCGTCTTGTATGTTTTAATGACTAAAATTATTCCGTTTCTTGGGACTTTTCTGAATCCTAGAGTTTGATCCGACACGTTTTCTTGATCTTTGTTTTTCTTTGTCCAAATCTCTACCAGGATTTTACCTTGGAGCAAGATGGTGTTACCCCAGTTAATGGGTGGAAGGCGTACTACGCGGCTACTAGAGGAATCATGAATATGAATGCGGAATTCTTCAACATCATCAGAGAGAGGTCTCTTCAAGCAATGGCTCGTTTCTGGTTGAACTCAGATTACGTGAAGTGCATCCACCCCTCGGGCGAACTCTTTTCCGGGTACCAATTTCCGCAACTCATTATCACTTCCTGCTTGCTCCTATGAAATGTATTAAGATCATCTTTCGGTTGCCAATGACTCTTACAGTTAAGGTGGATGCTCGATTTGTCGCTCAGTTTCGGTTCGGGTTTGGCATTTACTAGTTGATTACAGGCAAAATGCCGAAAACATACATAACCATTTTACATGGACGCAAGATCGATCTGTACATGTTAAATAAAGACCATCTTCTTCTTCCTTGTGTTTTGCTCCAATCGTAGGTACAACACAGTAATGCAGAGCTGGCAACTGTGTTTCAACTGGGAACAAGGGTTCGACTTTCAGGTCCAAGACATGTGCACTCGGGTCCTGACCGACATGGCATGGGTCACCATGAAGGCGTACCTGAACATGGACGGTGCACCTTTCCATATAACCAACGTGTTCGAGTTCCACAACGGACGGTGGCTCATGGTTCACCATCACTGCTCTGTCATGCTCATCGACGGCCTCGACCAACAGGTTGTTGTTATTTGAATTATGTCTTTTTATTTTATCTGCGGCTTTGGAATTTTTGTTCTTTCCTTTCCCTTTTGTCGCTTCCTTTTTTTTGTGGTTGAGAGAAAAGAACTAAAACTGCATAATGGGAATTGGGTTTAGATTAATATTACAAATTTTGGTTTTGTGTTGTTGGTTTAGGCAAAAAATCCCTCTCCATGTCTTGGCGTATTCTGTATAACTTAATGTCTTCTTGTATGCATTAAATTAAGCGTACCGAAATCAAAACAATGACTAAACCGGTCTATTCCGGTTTGACTTCTGGTCCCCTTTTCGTAAACCAACTCTTCATTGACCACAAATCTGGTTTCCTCATCATCGCCTAAAATACACAAAATGACATCTCCTATGAACAAATACCCAAAAAAAAAATTTTCTCAAAACCTGTAGCCATATTTTGTAGGGTCATAGCGGGCATTAGAAGACGCCCTGGGTTTTTTTTTTTTTAAACGATGAACACATCCTTATACTTTTTGGGCGGTCATCCCACTGGTTATTTACATGAGCACACATCACAACTACGGAGCTCTTTATAGCATCAGTTCCAACAATGGCGGAACTGAGCCCTAACAGAAGTACCGTTCGGCATTTTTCCTGTCCGGAGCAGAGTTTGCAGCCGCAGCCCTTAACTGCGCTATGAGGATCTCGGTGTTCCCTTCCTCCGCAAGAATCTCCTCCAGTTGCTTGGTTCCGATCACTACCTTCGCTTTCCACATCCCATTCTTTCTCCTGAGTGGCGAAACCTGTATCTTGGGCTGCAAGTTAACCTTGCGATACTGAACGATTCTGGGGTTTGTTCCTTGCGGAATAAGGTAGTAGACCTGCCCTCCTGCCAGGGTTTCGTCGCCGGATAGAGGCGAAGATGCGCAGCTCTGGCCGTAAATCCGGTAGCCTGGATATTCTTGTAAAATATCTCCTGCAAGCTTAGGATAGTTGAACTCAAATGCCTCTCCCGAGCCCCCGAAAACCCTGATCGAATTCGGGTTTTGCCCGTCGGATACTGCTTTTATGGAGCAATTGCCCATTTTGATCATAAACTCCAAAAAAAAAAAGATTTTATGTGATGGGTTTTGAGTTTAGGATACAACTAGTGAGATTGGGGGTTTATAAATAGGGAAGAGGAGTCGGACATGAAGCAATGGATATGTCAGAAATAGACAGTTTCATAATTTCATTGTTTGTCTCTTGAGTTTCTAATCGGCGCCATGTGATACTTTGGAGCCGTTTGAAGAATATTTTTTATATATAATATTATCTCTAGACTCTAATCTCTACCCATAGTATTCTTACTCTTATTTCCCCCCTCTATATTAAATATATGCTAATGCTGAAATAAATATTGAAGCGTTCTCTCAATTTGTTTATGCCATGAAAAAAAAATCTGGTCTCTTATATATTTTGGACATGTATGTGACCCCATAAAACCTTGGTGGCGATACACAACATGGTAGTCCGAAGAGGGAATGGCCTTCAAAACGTTACAACTCGCGAATATGTGATGTTTTTAAAATTAAAAAAATGTCTGTGAACACCTTTGGTATTTTTCATATATGATAAACAATAATATCTATAACAAAGACAACTTGAATGTTTTTTTTTTGTGCATAATGATTTAAATTTGAATTTTCTCATATATATATATAGAGAGAGAGTATAACCCGTGAGTTAAAACACTGTGGTACGTGTGATTGATTCGGCTTAGGCTCCTAAGATTAGGGACATAAGACAAGATATTATTATATAAATGAAATGTATTGTTATGGCAAGTTGATGTATTGGTGGCGAAGGAATCTCCCGTGACTCCGTCAACCCTCAAGGGGCCTGCAGCCAAACACGGTCCTATTCCAATTTGCACTGCCACCTGGCGAAAAAAAAAATGGACACAAGGTTTCTGCAAATAAAGATGAGAAAAAAAAGTAAAGGATCTTTTTTATTTTATTAAAAACAATATTTTAAAGGGCCCAACCGGGTTCGAACCGGTGACCTCTTGATCTGCAGTCAAATGCTCTACCACTGAGCTATGGACCCGTGTTGATTTCTTTGATTAAAGTAATCTCATAATTATTGGGCTTAATTCTTTTGGGCCGATATGAGTGCATTTACACATACCTTTTGTGTTTACAAATATAAATACATAAACCCATGGATAATACATTACATTCATAGAATCCAAGAGTCCAAATCTTTTGTGACAAACAAATAAATCTAACCTTTTTTATAGAATAAATAGAAGACAGTGCTTTGCATTGTTACTTATGCTATTGATTTTAGATTAAACTTGAAACCAAGACTATATGTTTCTTGATCATGTCATATTAATTCTGTTTTGTTTTGGCAGTTAGTTTCATTAAACATTACTGTGATACCGAGAGAGACACACAAAAAAAAAAAAAAAGTTGTGAGTAAACCGACTTATTACCGTGCAAAAACCTTAACGGTGAATACATGAACGCACATGGGTTTCGCTTTAGCTTATTAGCTGCTTAATCATCATTTCCTTTTTTTTAATTCCCTTTCATTTTCACTTATTGCTTTTGTTTCATGTGTTAATTATCTGCTTAACCACATGATTTATTACATTTAGACCATCATTACCCTCAAACTACCCAACAGTACACTTTGCATCATTGAGGTTCCATCCAAAGTAACTAGAAATCACCACTTGCTTTTATCTTAAGTTATTTAAATACAATTTGATTAACAAGTATCATATTTGGGGTTATAATTAATTTTCACTTACAAGAGGTTGAATTGTATTTGTTTTATTTGACCAATCATAACATTTTTTTTTATGAAACAACTCATACATGCATACAGAATCTATATAAAATATGATATGATATGATTGTTAAATCCCAAGTTCTTTGAATCATGAAAATTAATCTAGTGGATTGGCTAAAATATACAACATGTTCAAATTCATACTAAATATACAATATTATTTATGTTGTTTGCCAACTATTTTTCACAACAAAAACGAGGCTGCTATATATATCACAAAAAATTTTAGCAAGTAAAATTATAGAACACTTGGAAAATTATTTATATATACATATATGTGTGTGTGTGTGTGTGTATTTTACAATGATATTAATAATTATCTCTCTTTTTTTTTCTAGTATTGTTTTTGTTATTCAAGTTCATCTGTTTACCCGGATTCAGAATCTGACGGACGTAAGACATTCTTCGACAAATCCAACGGCTAGAAATCTCCAAGATTAAGTCAAAGCAAATTCAACTCCTTTTGGTTGAACAAGAGGGGCCAAGATTCCTCGAAACGCGGAAAGTTGTTCTGTACCACGGTCCAATTTTCAATTGAATAAAACCTGTTAATTATTAATAATAATCTTGTGATAAAAACTTTGTATATTAATTTTAATGACGACGATGATAATGATTCATAACTATGTTTCATACAACGATAATGAATTGATTTAATTTTGCAAATACATACTAGAAAAAATTGAAATCCTTTTTGCATATCATGGTCCAATTTCAAGGTGATTTTTAAATCGATAATTGTTCTAAAATCGTAACATTTTCCCTATTTGTGTGTTTACTATATTAATCTTATAAACTATTTACCAAGTGCTTTAGTATTTTTTACAAAAAAAAAGTGATTTAGTGTTTCATTTAATATATTACTTACAAAATTAATTATTTTTATACATATAATAAGTTATTTTGTTATAATTTTTACTGTTTTATTATAGTATTAATGGAAAACAATGTAAAAACGGCAACAAAATTTGTATATCATTCACAACTTTGGATTGTACTTAAATGAAAAAAAAAACTATGCCAAGATATAAAATAAAATAAAAATAAAATAAATCACCAACGTGAGATTGCTTTCACGTGGATTCCAATGGGATATGCTTCTTTTATTTCAAGCGTCCGCCAAAGTATTTGTTAGATAAGCATTTTTTTGGAAATTGGACCGAATTACGATAAGAATAAAGTATAATATAAAAAAATTAATTCACTAAAGGTTATATAATGTATAGTATGATGTGTTAGGTACTTGTTCGAAAAGCTAATTCACTTATTTATATCATATATATATATAGAGGCCATGAAACATTGAAATAGTTGGTCTCCACATGGCTACTACAATATGTTTGTCCAACCAATCATAGTACGATGTATCTTCTAATATTTTCCCTTTATTCCTTTTGATTTCTTCTTATAAATTACTTTCTTAATTTAAATTTCCTCTAATCATCTCCCAAATAATTTATTTTTATTTAGATACAACTGTTATGCATTGAATTCAAACATGAACTCAATTTATGTAGTTCAACTGGTGAAAAAATGAAGCAAATTGTATGTTTCATCTCGAATTCGAACCTCAAGTTGATGTGGTTTATTTCTGATTTTAGGATTAGTTTGTACCTCGGTCTAAAATATCCGGTTACAAAAAAAAATCTTCATTTCATATGATATAAGTTTTTTTTTATCAAAACACTGATAATTTAAACTCTATTATCTTATCGTATATATTATCGAAACGCAACGATTGATTTGAATAATCAAAAATTTAAAAGAATATTAAAAAAACAGCTGAACTTTTAAACATATGAGAAAAATGAAAACTAGATCTTTTTATTTATAAGAAACAAAACGAAAAAAAAATAAGGAATAAAAAATAACGGAAAAATGGTGACAAGGGAGGTTTACCACAAATCGCATTATTTGGGTTGATCAATTAGAAAACTCTCCATTAATTTTAGAAATCTCAACCATTTACATGTATCTTTTTCTATTAAATATAATTTTATATATCTTTAATTATGTGATAATGCATTTTAGAGATCTCTGTGTATATAAATAAATTTGCAACGTTACTTGTTCAGCAAATATTAAATAGTAACAAAGTCCCCTATCTTTTTTAATTATTCAAGTCCAACATGTTACATGACTCTTGGCTCTTGGGAAAGCGTAAGGTCCATTACAATGAATAACATATACACAATGATATATATATCAACACACACAAACATGTTTGTGCATATATATATATATATATATATATATATAAATGTTTGTGCATATTGGTGGGGCTTTGGACATAAAGTACAGTCGAATTATATTTTTTTATAAGAAAAGGGGGACAGGTGTCAAGCAGTAAACCTATGAATAATAAATGGCATTTTTACAATTTGTGGCGCAATAATGCATAGTGTACAGACAATCATATACACAAACTCACCCTTTGATTGGCAATATCTTACTTTTCCTTACAAACATGTTTGTGCATATATATATATATATATATATATATATAAATGTTTGTGCATATTGGTGGGGCTTTGGACATAAAGTACAGTCGAATTATATTTTTTTATAAGAAAAGGGGGACAGGTGTCAAGCAGTAAACCTATGAATAATAAATGGCATTTTTACAATTTGTGGCGCAATAATGCATAGTGTACAGACAATCATATACACAAACTCACCCTTTGATTGGCAATATCTTACTTTTCCTTACCATTTTCCAATATACATATCAACTTTGATTCATTGTATGTATGTATGTATGTATGTATGTATGTATGTATGTATGTATGTATGTATGTATGTATGTATGTATGTATGTATGTATGTATGTATGTATGTATGTATGTATGTATGTATGTATGTATGTGATTAATTAAGAACCCCAATTATCATGTTTCAATGCATTTGTTATAATTTGTGATACAACTATATATTTCCAAACCTGATTATATGAACATCCTTTAATTCCAATTTCCGCTAACATTAGCTACTATACGTTTTAATTTTATTTTCGGCGATAGGATCCAGCAAATAATTGTAATAGCCATTTTTTTTTTAATTTATTCCAGTTCTGTCTAAAAATTCTGTAAATTAAATTGTGTTCATGATCTGTACTAAGATCCACTGAAATTAACTATAAGAATATTGGGAGCGATATGTGATTTTTGTTTTAAAGAACAAGGAGACAAATGTATAACTATAATAAATTATAAAACAAAAAATTCGGGAAACGGTGGGTCTTAGTTGGATAAATATATCCTTAAAGCAGACAAGAGTTGTCAATCACGTCACAAGTGACGTAAATTGACACAAATTAATTATACAATAATAGGATAAAACAATAACCTAATTAATTAATCAGTGAATTAATTAATTGTTTTTTTTTTGGGTAAAAAGGCAAATAGAATTAATTAATTGTTCAAAATAAATGGACGAATGAAGCTAATATAGCAAGCACTATGAGAGTTATTTTTTTGTTCTTTATTCGTTTAATTTAATTTGTTTATGGTACCACTCATTGTCAACAAAAATTAATTATATTTAGTAAGAAATCCTTAGACAAATAATCACTACTCAAGAATCCGGTTCGGTTCCGATTTTAATTACAAATTAACCCCTTACATGTTTTTATATACGACCTCTATGCTTCAATTACGTCTTTAATTACTCCATTAATCTAATTTTATTATATCTTGGTGATTTTTTTATTACTAATGCCTGTCCCACGAAATGACCAAAATGCTTGAGTCTGACGTGGACAAAAGATTACAGATCTCGACTCGTTGGAAATAAATGCGGGTCCCACTTAATGGTATAAATGTAATTTATTCCAAACAATGAGGTCAAGTACTCAGTCCATCTTCCCAAAATTCTGCCTGAGTTGAACTCCAGACCAACATTGTTGTTGCTCGCCCTGGAGTAGACAGCCAAAGATACGGAATCTCAACGTTGACGGTCGTTAACGTTTATTAACGGCTTCCGTCATCGTGACCGGGCGCTCCCGTCGCTCCCCGTGTTCCTGCCAACCATTCAGATCTCGCGATTGTTTCATGCAGAGGAGGAGGAGGGGAGAACGAAACGTGGAGGTAGAATCTGTGATTCGTGGCTTCTCAAATTAAATCGCAGTTAGGGTTCTTAAATCGGAGTGTCTCAGTCGTTAGAGAGAGAGAAAGTGGTGATTGTGAGAGAATTTTATCTGGTTTTGACTTCGCTGCGGCTTCGTTGTTTGGGAGCTCGGGCTCATGGCGAATCGCGGAGGTATGTGTTTACCGCCTGATAGTTTTCCACTTGGAGGTGTGATAAATCGAGCGGTTTATTTGACTTTCTCTCGATTCTTCCATTTTCCGGGAAAATTTTTCTAAGGGCGTTTCAGTTTTTGACCAAACAGATGACGGAGGTGGTGGAGGATATTTATACGAGGAGTTATGGAAGTTATGCGCGGGTCCTCTAGTTGACATTCCTCGACGCAACGAAAAAGTTTACTACTTTCCTCAGGGGCACATGGAACAAGTGAGTTTTCGATCCTTTCCATTTTAGATCGGCGTTTTCCCCCTCCTTCTGCTTGTTTCTCGGGAAAATTGTTTTTCTTTTTCCTCTTCTTGTAATGAGAAGGCTCTCTGAAATATATCTACTTTTGGTGGCGTGTCAGCTTGAGGCGTCAACAAATGAGGACTTAAACAAGATGGAACCGCTTTTCAATCTTCCTTCGAAGATTCTCTGCCGTGTAATGAACGTGATTCTTCAGGTCTGTCTTCTCGATGCCAACATCTTCTTGTTCCACTTTATGATTAACTGGGTTCTGGAAATGGAATAGATCAATGTATATGTACCGTGGTAAAATAAAAGAGCTGCCATGTGTGTTTTTTTTTCCTGGTATGGATAGATCCTCTTCAATTGAAATTATAGCCTCTAGGATGTTCTAACTGTAATTAAGCCCTTTAGTGAGGCGGATCGGCCTCGAGTTCTTGATCTACGAATTTATCAGACAATGCAGAAACTAGAGTATGAAAAGACGGAGAAGTTAGCGGTTATGTTGGTGCGACTTGTTATGTTTCCGTAGCTTTTACTTTTGTGGCAAACAAGATTCAATTCTGTTGATTAGTCAGAAACTCATCTGTTATATATTATGATGTTAGGCGGAGAAAGAGACGGATGAGGTTTATGCCCAGATTACTCTGATACCGATAGGAACTGTAAGTGGCGATTTTGTTTTCAAGTTCTAACAGTTCTTGTTTCCGACAGTGTCGTATGCCTCTAAGTGTTTTCTTGATTTGTGAATCAATAGCAAGTTGATGATGAGCATACATGTCCTCCTGAACCACAAAAGGCAACTGTCCACTCTTTCAGCAAGGTTTTGACGGCGTCTGATACAAGCACACATGGCGGATTTTCTGTCCTAAGAAAGCACGCAACCGAGTGCCTTCCCCCGCTGGTAATGAACTACTTCACCATTGTGTCCCTTTTTTTTTTGGCAGGCAGCCTTATATCAGAACTTCCGTAGGACTTTCATGTGTTGTTTCAATTTAGGATATGACCCAGCCAATCCCTACTCAAGAATTGGTTGCCTCTGATCTCCTTGGTAATGAGTGGAAATTTAAGCATATTTTCAGAGGTAACGAGTCAAATTCCTGCTAGCATAGTTCAAGCTTTTCGTTTCTTCTGTCACAATTTACTAAGCAGATGAAACGAGACATAATTCTGCCATTTCATTGAGGTATATCTCATCCCATCTACTTAAATATGAGCTTACTCGTCGTCTGTTGCCCACGGACAATGAAACAGGTCAACCACGGAGGCACCTTTTGACGACGGGGTGGAGCACCTTTGTCTCATTGAAACGGTTGGTTGCTGGAGATACCTTTGTATTCCTGAGGTATATTTACTCTGTTTCTAGCCTGTGGGTTCATGTAGGATTAGTTTTCGGGACTTGACTTTACCTATCTTGTTTTGTGCAGAGGAGAAAATGGGGAATTGCGTGTTGGAATAAGACATGCTGCTCGCCAACAAATCAGTATGCCTTCTTCTGTGATATCGGGCCAGAGCTTGCATCTGGGAGTGCTTGCTACTGCAAGGCATGCCATCCATACCCAAACCAGGTTCACCGTGTACTATAAGCCAAGGTATAACCTCTTAGACTCTATCAAAATACCTATGAGTTTCTTCGATATGCTCGCTTATATCTTAGCATCGGTTGGATCAGGACAAGCCAGTTCATAATCAGCTTGAACAAATATCTAGAAGCCATGAACAACAAATTTTCTGTTGGGATGAGATTTAAGATGAGGTTTGAGGGAGAGGATTCCCCAGAAAGGAGGTAGTTTAATATTCTCAGTCGCTATTTTACCTTGCGAGGCTTTTCTTTTCAAAGCCGTTTTCTAAATGTGTTTGTTTGTTTGCAAAGATTTTCTGGCACAGTTGTTGGCGTTAAGGACTGCTCTTCTCATTGGAAAGACTCAGAATGGCGATGCCTACGAGTAAATTCCCACCATTTTAGTTCACCTCAAATACGTTTTGGAGTGTAATAATATCGTCAACTAGTCTGCTTCGTTTTCTTTAGGTTCAATGGGACGAGCCCACGTCAATCCAAAGACATGATAATGTTTCTCCATGGGAGATTGAGCCTTTTGTGCCTTCAACAAATATCACTCAATCTGTTGTGCCGAAGAACAAAAGGCCTCGACAAGCTAGCGAAGTATCTGGTCTCGGTAAGGTCTAATTGCCCGTTTTCCCACTCATTAATAGGCCGCGAGCTTCTTTGTCATTTATCTTACATCTTATGCTTGAAATGTAGATTTAGGCTCAACAAGACCAAACCTCTGGAGTTCCACATTGACGCAATCCCACGAATTTGGGCAATCGTGCATCACCTCCCAGCATTGTTACCGTGATGCAGCTGAAGAAACCAAGAGTGTTTCTGGTTGGCTAATGAATTGTTACTCGGTCCCACCCACGACGAAATCTACCAATGACCAAATGGGTTTCCCGGTAGAGGAGAAGAAACATGAGATGGTCACCAGTTACAGATTGTTTGGAATTGATCTGATGAGTAAATCCGCCGCAACGGAGAAAACAGGGAATATGCTTACAGTTAACATTGCCAATTCAACACTTGAAGCTGTCTCGGACCAAAAGTCTGAGGTTTCCAAAGTCTCTGAAGAGAAAAAGCAAGAGCACGCACAGGCGTCTCCTAAAGAGGTCCAAAGCAAGCAAAACAGTTCTAACAGAAGTCGTACCAAGGTATGGAATGAATGAGATATGCTTCTCTGCACCCATACACATGCAATTGCAAAAGATATAGATATAACACTAGTTGTCATAGAACATATAACACGTGACATGGAATTTTACAAGATCATGGAGGATACTGATAAAGGGTATTGGTGAACAGGTTCAGATGCAGGGTGTAGGCGTAGGAAGGGCAGTGGATTTAACAGTGGTGGAAGGGTACGATCAGCTATTTGAAGAGCTGGAGAAACTCTTTGACATCAGGTGTGAGTTGAGGACTCGGGATCGGTGGGAAATAGTCTACACAGACGGTGAAGGAGATATGATGCTCGTTGGCGATGATCCATGGCAGTAAGCAACTCTCTTCCCTTATCAGTAAAAGTACCTCCAGTCCGATATCTGAGAATGATAAAAGGGGGGTTTGTTGTGTTTGTGGGTTGGTGCAGTGAATTCTGCAACATGGTGAAGAGAATATTCATATGGTCAAAGGAGGATGTGAAGAAAATGACTCCGGGGAGCAAACTCCCTTTGTTCATACCTGAAGGACGTGATGATCAGACAATGACCATGCTGGCGAGCTCAGACTCAGCCGACACGAATACAAGATAACACTCGAAAGCTCCTCTCTTTCTCTCTCTCTCCATATATATATGAATGTCGAAAGTGTACTATATACTATTTACTACTAATGTATGTGGGTTTTTTTTTTTTTAATTGGGAATGTGTCATGTTTGTGTTTGTGTCTTGTGGGAAGTTCCAAGTTGTTAGGGAAAGCAACAGAAATAGAGAGGGCAGACAGTTGTGGCTTAGGGGAGAGGTGTTTGGAACTTGGAAGTGGGTTTTAACTACGTATGATTTCTTGTCAAGTGTTGAGAATCATATGAAGAAATTAACGTGAATAAAACATTTTTAGGAGTTTGGATATCAAAATCAATCATCATTCACAGCTCCTTCATTCGGATTTCCTATGATCATAAATAATATACGAATTTTTATTCCATAAATCTTGACAAAATTCTACATTCGTTCGAATTTTGATAATTTCGTTTTAAAAGAATTGTACCTAATTGGTTTTTACATCGTATTCGATTAGGATATTATTATGTATTATTGAGTTCGGTTTAGAAGTGAAAAGATACATTTATATTTAAAAGGGATAATTCCATTTAAAACCCTGTACTTTTCTCTCGTCTCAATTTAAACCCCATACTTTTTTTTGATCCAAAAAAACATTGTACTTCTAAAAATTGGCAATTAAAACTCTATACTTTTAAAAATTGGCAAATAAAACCCTGAACGAAAAACAATATTATTTAATGCTGACATGGCATCCTAGTCATCTGCCACATCATCAATCCCTAATATTTAATAATATTAATTAATATAAAATAAAAATAAAATAATAAAAATAAAAATAAAATTTTAAAAATTATACACATACATATATAATGAAATGATATACATATATACACATATATAAACATATTTATATATATACACACATATATATAATACATATATATATATATGTTTTATATGCATATTACATATATATACATATGATACATATATATCTATATATGTGTATAATTATTATATGTTTTATATGTATGTGTTATATATGTATTTTTCCTAAAAAACATTATATATATATGTATGATTTTTAGGAAAAAAATCATATATCACACATACATAAAACATATTTATATATATATCTATATAATACATATATATATATATATAAATATGTTTTATATGTATGTGTGATATATACATGCTTTTCTAAAAATCATATATATATGTGACATATGCATGATTTTTAGAAAAAAAAATACATATACCACATATGCATATAAAACATATATGTATTATATATATGTGTGTATATATATAAATATGTTTATATATGTGTATATATATATATCATTTCATTATATATGTATGTGTATAATTTTTAAAATTTTATTTTTATTTTTATTATTTTATTTTTATTTTGCATTAATTAATATTATTAAATATTAGGGATTGATGATGTGGCAGATGACTAGGATGCCATGTCAGCATTAAATAATATATTTTTTCGTTCAGGGTTTTATTTGCCAATTTTTAAAAGTACAATGTTTTTTTGGATCAAAAAAAAGTATAGGGTTTAAATTGCGACGAGAGAAAAGTACAGAGTTTTAAATGGAATTATCCCTATTTAAAAACAAAAAGATATTCTTTGGGAAATCGAAAATGTCATAGCTCCATGGAAAATTGGGAGAGCAAACTTTGACCAAAAAAAAAAAAAAAAGAAAATTGGGAGAGCAAAGACCAAAATAATGTGTTAGCTGCATGCACGTGTTTTCTAATCCATACACAATATATATATATATATATATAAACCTTTTAGATAATTATTTTTTGTTATCGTAAAAAGATTTACGTATTAGTTAGTGGAAATAAAATAAACATTTTAATTATTTTCTTCATGTGAGTTTCAGTAATTTCTAAAGCGTACTATTTTATAATTGCTTCCAAAACACGTAATTTTGGAAATAAAATTATAAAAATTTATCGTTTGATATTTTTGGGGGAAAGCAAACAAAATTGTCTCATGCAACTTTGGCAAAGAGCAAACTTCAGCCAAAAAATCTTTGTCCAAGGTTGGCCACTAGTACTGTTTTTTAATTAAAAATATTATATGTTGTTTTTATTATAAAGATGGGCATACATAGAGCTACATTTGGCCCCATTAACCGGGAAATAATTATTTAAAATAAGAAAATTAGAAGATTAATACTCAAAAATTGTTAAATTTTCCTAAATAAAATCTTAACTTTATTTTTTTATTTTTTTTAAATCTGAATTTTAATGTTCATGATTAAATAAATATAAATTTTGTAAACCACATCAAATTTAACTCTAAATATTGACATAGTAGGCTAGACGATGATGTGGTAATTTTAAATTCTGAATGACAGATAACGTTTTGTCAAGTCAAAATTATCATGTTATCATTAGAGTTATCATATAAACGTTTAGTGTTAATTTTGATATGATTTATAAAGTTCCAATTTATTTAATCTTGAACATCAAAATTTGGATTTGAAAAAATTAAGGTTTGGATTTTATTTAGAAAAACTTGACAAGTCCAAATATTAATATTTTAATTTCTTTTTAAAATATTATATTATTGGGAGAAAAAAACTACAGTCTACATCCCGATTAAATGTCGTGATGTTGTCCTAACGGCTGAAAATGCCAAGATTCTTTATTCGAATTTTAAAGTTTAATATTTTTTTTTCCAGAAATTAGGCATCTTATTTCATACCATCTAAAGTGAAATGAAAACCTATCAATACGTAAATTAAAAGAAAGAAATAATAATGATTTATAAAAATTTAAAATCCGAAAAAAATATTACATCTCAAGCTCTTCATCTTCATCATCGGTCATGACTTATAAAAACTAAAAACCTCAAATTCAAAGAATTTTTTCAAAATCTGATACAATGTAAAGTTGTAAAAATTGTTCTAGTTATTTTTATTAATCATCAAATAAATTTAATATATAAATAATTTGTTTTAATAAAACTCATAATATTAAGAGAAAATTCAACTTTATTACTATAAATGTTGTCAACTAAATTATAATTATAATAATATATAGATCCTAATATTATATAAATTATGTTTTTGGTTAGTGAGTCGGTTGATTTTGTTTTCTTTTCAATATAATGATGTGCCACTCAAATTTAATATGATCACATAAAATCTAGTATATTCCAGTCCACAAATGAAATTGATAGCATTCCCCAACTTTGGCATTAACTAGATATTGAAAATTAAAATGGATTTGTGTGGGTTTTTTTTTGTGTGTATTATGATGAAATGAAGAATTAATATACGAGTTATTTAAATAATTCATATCATATTAAATGGAATCGAACCAAACTATATGGATATTGGATTTCTGAGATTCAAATCTTTTTTTTGGGGAAATTTCATGACCTGTATGTTATGATGAAAAGATAAAAAAAAATATATATATATATTGTTTTTGGACGAAACAAAACAAATTATACAAAAAAATGTTGCAATAGTATGTAATTTTGTTTTGTTGTGCCGTTTTTCTCGTCATCTCTTAGGGAACTGTGAATGCAATTTGCATCCGACCTTATCTTAAGTCTTCTGGAGTCAATATGAATCTAACAAAAATTAATTGATCAATTCCAATGTTTATATATATATATATATATATATATATATATATAAGATAATTTAGTCATGCAGACTATTTAAAACCCGAAAATTAAACTATTTCATCACTATTTTTAGCTTTTTAAACCAACCATTTTATTTCAAATACTTTGTTTACGATTTTATTCTTTAACCGTTTTTTTTTTCAATAGCTCGCGTTAAATTATTATTCATAAATACTTATTTGAAACGCCAAAAATATCTATAAGAACAGATGATTAAACCAATTTTGTGGATCTTATATATAATCTTTTATGCGTTAAATTAAAACCCAAGACCATTAAATTATTACGTAATCTTTGGTTCGAACTTCAAACATTGAAAGTGTGAATAAGCACTGCCACCACTGGCAGCGGTGGTGACAAGGATGTCAATCGGATCGGTCCAAACCCACACTTGATTTGAAAGTTTTGGGTTTGATTTCGGATCAATCCAATTTTTTTGGGTCTATATAACTAAGTTTAAAGTCTGATCCTATATATTTCGACTTCAGATCAAATTGGATTAGACAAGACCAATCCACATATTTTTTCTTTGTAAATGTTATTTTTTAAATATCGGATTTTCGGATGGATCCGAATCGAGTCCGAAGTCCGATTTAAATTCGACCCGAAAATCCAATTCTTTTTAGACCGAAAAATTTAGATCCAAAATAGCTTGTTTCAGATATTTTTTTAAAAACTGAATACAAATAACTTCATTACTATATATATATATATAAGCTAACGTTTATATTCTCCCGACTTGGACAAATTAATTCATATTAACATATGGTATGAAATTGAAATTGTTTTCACATCCTTTACTAAAAAAAAAATAGTTTTCGCATCACCATAACGTCACTCTAAATCACCTGTCCGCCGGTGGCCTTATAAATTATACCAAGAGTCTCATGCGGTTTTTGTACAAGCTGGAAAGAAGGAAGATGAAGCCGCAGAGAAGAAACTCTGATGCACTGCACACGTGCGAACCATTCCGCCGCACGATTCCGTACCGAATCTACGCCGTTGTTCACACGTGTGGAATCCTTGCCCTAATGTACCGCCACGCACGCACGCTTCTCCACGGCAAAACCCTGATCTCCTCCCTCCTCTTCATCTCCGACATCATCCTCGCCTTCATGTGGGCCACCTTAACGCCCCTCCGGTTAAACCCGGTTCACCGGTCCGAGTTCCCGGATGACTACAAACCGGAACTAACCGAACCGGACGGTGGCAACCGGTTCCCGGGTATCGACGTGTTCATATGCACGGCCGATCCGTACAAGGAGCCACCGATGATGGTAGTGAACACCGCCTTGTCGGTGATGGCTTACGATTACCCGTCCGAGAAGATTTCGGTCTACGTATCGGACGATGGAGGTTCGTCGTTGACTTTGTTTGCTTTGGTGGAGGCTGCCGAGTTCTCTAAGCTCTGGTTACCCTTTTGCAAGAAGAATAATCTTTTGGACAGATCTCCGGAAGCTTATTTTGCTTCAAATGCACATTCTTGGACCGACGACGAAGCACGAAATCTTAAGGTATGTGTTCTGATTAATTGTTAGTACGTAATTAGTGATCATATGAATAATTGATTTTCTAAAATAGCGTGTATTTAACTAACAGTAACAAAGTATTATTACACAAACCGATTGATTAGTTTCTGTCTTCAAACTGGTCTTCATGAATACTGTAACAAGTAACCAACACAAAAAGTATTTTATAAATATTTTCCATATTATAGATTTCATTACATAGTTAATGAATGCATTCATGAAATTAACTAGACCTATAAAAACAGAGAAAAAGATACATTTTTAATACCTAAATTGTTTTTATAATAAGTTTTAACACCCGATTTTTTCTCACAGAATTTAACACCTTAATATTTTTTTTCAAACATATTTAGTACTCAAGTTTTGTTTATCGTCGAATATTCAACTTTCAACACCACGTATTAATTATCATGTAATAAAAATGTAAACAAGAACGAAAAGAATGGGATACGGACAAAAAGCAAATTGTATGTTTTGGGAAGAGGGCAGTCATATACGTTTTCGGTCATCACATGGGTCAATGTCTTCACAGCTTTATCTCGTAATTACGTCATCAGTTAATAATGGCTGCTCGTGCTGTCAATGTAACATATGATCCCAAGATTCGTGGATGGCGACATGACTAACCAATTCTCATATTTAAAATTTAAAAAAAAAAAAACCATAATATTTCTAAAGTGAAACAGATGAGATATGAGGAGATGAAGAGGAGAGTGGAGGAAGTGGTGGAAAGTGGTCAAGTTCCTGAGCTCATCGACTCACTTGGAATCTTCCGTTTATGGACCCACGATTTCACCCGTCATCATCACCCCACTATCATCCAGGTTTTACTTTTCAATTCCCTTTTCCTCTCCCCTTGTAATTCCACCATGTAATGAATATATTTATTTACATTTCATGAATTTTATTCGACTTGTATCATTCAACCGATGAAACACACAAAACGTCTGTCTCGTGTCGAATTTGAATCTCAAGTTGGAGAGGGAGATTGAAAATGGCTTTGTTCTCGGTCTCGTAATTATTTTGGATTTCGGTTTATGATAACCGATTATCCGAAAAAATATATTTATATTTACATAAAAAAAATAGGGTGTCAAAATCGTAGGACTGGATCTGTTTTGGGTTTGGGCCCGAGAGAAGCCCGAAAATTTAGGGATCGTATCGGCTCGGCTCAAAACCTAGTCGGGTTTTAATTCTTCGGTCTAATTAAAGTCCGATCCGATATATTTTTGTGGATCGGGTTTCGAGTTTGAATATGCGAAAAGTTTTAACGTATAAGAAATGCTAAAATAAATATGAATTTTGCGTGGACAGGTTTTACTCGAAAGCGAGAAGGAGAGGGATGAAAGTGGAAATGTGATGCCTAACCTAATCTATCTATCAAGAGAGAAGAGTAGGGTTTCACCTCATCATTTCAAAGCCGGTGCCCTTAATACATTGGTAACTCTACTACTATACATCCACTTCGGTTTCGGGTTCGGTTTTTTCATTTAATATATAACTTTTGTTTGTTCATACAGTTACGAGTCTCGGGTGTGATGACAAACTCGCCAATTATCCTAGCCATAGACTGTGACATGTATTCGAACGATCCGAAGACGCCTCTCCGTGCCCTATGCTACTTATCCGACCCCAAGATCAAATCCGAATTAGGGTTTGTACAGTTTCCTCAGAGGTTTAAGGGGATAAACAAGAGTGATATCTATGCTTGTGAGCTGAAGCGCCTCTTCCACATCAACTCGACCGGGTTCGACGGGCTCAAGGGACCGAACCATGTCGGGACAGGGTGTTTCTTCAACCGAAGGGCCTTTTTTGGTGGACCTCATAATTTGGTTTTACCTGAGATTGATGAACTTGGGCCTTATTGGATCTCACGTAAGCCCATTAAGGCCCAAGAGATTTTGGCATTGGCGCACAAGGTTGCAGGATGCAACTACGAGCATGATTATACCAATTGGGGAGTTAAGGTAAGGAAAACCCTAATCTTCTTACACCCTTTCATTTTTTTGTTATTCTCATGGTAGTTCTGTTATGATACTCTATTCGCTAAATCATTTACGACACATAATTTTAAAAACTGGTGCACGAATTATCTCGTCATGGATCACTGTTTTTATTTTTATTTTTATTTTTTGACTCATAAACCGACTTGTTTGGCCCGTCAGCCAGGCAAGATGAGTTATGATCAAACATTTTCTACCTCGTTTAAAAAGATTTACCGAGCCAAATCTAAAATTTTTGTAATCGTGATCATCACGGGTCAGATCAAACTGAATTAATCATACATGTTGATTCGAAATCGTACAGACGGGATTTCGGTATGGATCTTTGGTGGAAGACTACTACACGGGATATAGACTCCATTGTGAGGGATGGAGATCAATATTTTGCAACCCTAAAAGAGCAGCATTCTATGGCGATGTTCCAATGAGTCTTATTGATGTGTTGGGCCAACAGAAGAGATGGTCCATTGGGCTTCTTGAAGTGGCCTTCTCAAGGTATAGTACCCTAACCTATGGGGTCAACTCAATGGGCCTTTTAATGGGTTTGGGCTATTCCCACTATGCGTTATGGCCACTCTGGTCGATTCCTCTCGCCATCTATGGATTTCTGCCTCAACTTGCTATTCTCCATGGAGTTAGCGTCTTCCCCAAGGTAGTCCTTCAGTTCTTTCTTGGATTTCGTTGTTATCTGAGTTTAGGAATCTTCGGTTTTAGAATTTAGGGTTTCGAAAGGTAATATGATATAGACTTTGAGGGTGAGAATAGGTGTAGAACATCGTTCGAGTTGGTTTATCTAAAAGGGCATCACGGTACACTGATTCTTACACTTGAAGAGGAGTTCCTGAAGAAGGAACACTTTAATTAGGGCATCGAGGTATTTAGAGTGAGTGTCTAGTGATCCAGTTAATCAAATATTTATAATAAACAAGATCATGCATAGGAAATTATTGCGTTAGAATCCCAAATCATAAGATGAACTCTTTTGATGATAGGCATCGGATCCTTGGTTCTTGCTCTACATTTTCTTGGTCATGGGAGCATACGGGCAAGATCTATTGGATTTCACACTCGGAGGAGGGACAGTTGGAAGATGGTGGAATGACCAGAGAATGTGGATGATAAGAGGGCTCTCTTCTTTCTTCTTTGGACTCGTAGAGTTCTCTCTCAAAACCCTAAAAATATCAACACATGGATTCAACCTCACCAGCAAGATCAATGATGATGAACAGACGAAGATGTACGAGCGAGAGATGTTCGACTTTGGGGTTGCCTCGCCAATGTTCTTGCCAATGGCGACAGCTGCCGTTCTCAACCCCCTAGCCCTAGTACAGGGGCTTTTTGGTCTTTTTACCTACCGAGGAGGAGGAGGAGAAGTGCTCGCCATGGAATTGTTGGTGGTGGGATTCGTGGTGGTGAATTCCATCCCGGTTTATGAGGCTATGGTGCTAAGGAAGGATAAAGGGAGATTGCCAAAAAGGGTTTGTTGTTCTGCTGTGATTCTCTCCTCTGCTCTGTATGTTTTGGGTTACTTCTTCTTCAAGTAATTGCGTCCGTTGGGGCTTTGTAGTAGCAGAAAAAAGTTATCCAGCTAAAATGGCGCATAAGAATAAAATAAAGCCTTTCTTTCTCAGTGAAGAAGACGAATGGAAACGTTAATCGTTAGTCTCTCTTTTCAGCGATTTCTCTTCTGTTTTCTCGTAGTTTTGTTTCCAATACTTGGATTAAATTGTAAGAAGAGAAAATTTGAAAAAGTTAATATACAATTGCTCCAAACAATTGAAAAAATCTAACTGGTAAATCTGAACTTGAATCATACGGCCGGAATAGAGTCAGTTCCAAGAGGATGGGAGGGTTTGGGAGTGACGGAGGAGCGACAGAGAGGGCAAGTGGAGTGAGAGTGAAGCCAAAGGTGAAGGCATTCCAAATGAAATATGTGTTTGCATGAGGGAATCTGCACCAACTCTTCCTTCATCTCGAACTCCCCCAAGCACACGCAGCATCTGCCCAGACTCATGCTTTAATCAGTCTATCAAGAAGATGGTATTATCCAATAATCTAATTTTTACTGTTTCTTACGGTGTCAATTACAAAATTCCTATGAATTTTTTTTTTATGTCAATTACAAAATGCTGCATGAAAAATTCATTTGATTATAATTTTGATTTCATGCAGAATTTCAGAAATTTATCCGAGCAAATAGTGACTTACAGGGTATCTCTTGTCCCTAGTTCTTCGTTGAACCGCACCACTGGAAGCTTGTCCTTGAGGTCTACTTTAACATCTAACACACAAACCTGCAACAACAAAAGAAATTGATTTAATGTTTTAATTACAACCATTGCCTGTGATTAAACTTTTTCTACTACAGGAAAAATAGTAAACTACAGAAACGTTATGGAATTATAACTCAGAAATGAACAGTCTTTTTTATTTTTTGTTTTCCAAAAGCAGATACAGTCCAAAATATGAAATGATCTCACTATATATCTCATCAGCTTATCTAGAATAAAATAATGGAAACATTTTTGGCACAGAACAGAACCCAACTTCATCAATCCCCAACAGACTCATATGAGTTAGAAGAAAAAAATGAACGGATAGTGATGAAAAGAACAGAAAACCGTGGTTGGGAGGATTATTCATAATACCCAAGACGTCTTTACAATCAGAAAACGAGGGAATCGAATAAAACGAAAGTATATAAAGTAAATAACTTTTTACAAGACGAATACAGGAGATTCACACCACGAACATCTTACATGTAAAAATTATTTCACAGAAGAAATACATAACACACGGATCATGTAATTCCAATGGATTTCAACAGGGGTAACGCATAAACACTCTTGACAAATATTTCATAGCTAAAAACAGTTAGAGAAATACATTGAGCAGATTTTGGCATCTGGCCTTACAAACCTATATGACCCATGTGAAGATCCTCTTTCGCCCAGATCATGTAAATGTCAAATCTTTAGTCCATGGGCACATCACGCACCCCATGGAAATAGGACCCTAGATCTAATATTCTTCGAGGGTACTTAAACTAAACAATTCACCAACTAACCAACCTCAATGACTACAAATTTTCGCACATTTCGTCTGTTGTGTTTATCTAACACTTACCGAAGGGAGGTGGGAAGAAGACTGGTGGGTCGAAGAAAGGGGAAGAATCATGGGTGCAAGAGAAGGAGAAGAGGCTCTTCTCTTGAGGTAAAAGAGATAGAACAAGAGGAAGAGAATGATGGAGAACAAGACGGGGATGGAGAAGATGAAGGCTTGGTAGAGTTTTAGTTGAATTGCTTGTGGGTAAAGGTGTGGTGGGATTGGTGATTCAGGGTCTCCCATTTTTAGTTTCTGCTAAAACCCCGAAAAGAGAAATGAAGTTGATGAGGCACAAGAAGATGTCTATATATATATATATAATATATATATATTGGTGTGTGAGATTGCATCCAAGTGCAAGGTGAGGAGGTAAAATATGCAAACGTTTTGTGCGTGTATCCAAGTGCAAGTGACCAGCAAGCTCGCTTAGGCCTAATATTCTAAAACAGAAAACATAATTTGAATAGAATAATATATATTCCAAATAATTGAATATGAAAATAAAAATCTTTACAGAAAAAGGTCACTTAGTTCGTTATTTATACATGCTTATTATATGTCCAAGTGGAAGTAATCAGCCCACTAACATGCAATTATACCCATCCTAGACTTGAATTTTATTCCAAGGAAAATCACAAATTAGAACCTAATAGTACAACCACCATTATTTTTCATAAGCACTTAATCCAAAATGTCTTCTCATATGTCGGATATGATATTCTAGCGAGAACCTTTTCACACCATCTGCTACTGCTACGGCTTAACGACCTCTAAACTCTAGGTATTGATTCATGTCTTATAAAAAGTTATAGATTTTAGAGTTTCTAATCCTGATTTTTAAAGAATAAATGCATTTTTCTTCTTTTTCTAAGATAAAGGACAAATAGCCTAAGAATCTACTATTTATCAGGATAACAAATAATAATGCAGCTGAAATCCGAATGACAACGACGGATCAAAGATTTGATGAACACTAGATATTTACACAATCTAAAAGCTAAACCAGAGTGCTTATACATGTGAAGCCAAGTGTGTGTGTGTATACACATATATGTATAGAGGCCCGAGAAATGAATGGAAAAGAGCTTTTGGAATATAAAATAGAGTGTATATATTTCTTTTCCCAAGAATGACTAGACAAGGCAAGTGATGAGTTTCCACTAAACAATCCAATAGGACCTTTATAAAATGCTTAAGGATTAGATCCAAATGTCTCAATCCTCTAAAACATGGGACCTATACAACCCATCATTTCATTGCTGACTCATTTTAGCTATAGATTATTCCACACTTAAGCATCATCATAGGATTATTGCACACCCTCCCCAGAAAAAGAAATAGAAAAAAAAAACCCAAAAGCATAATGAATAATTTGAGTGCATAGATTGTTTTCTTTTACTTTTGGACAGCGGTGAATACTCAATTAAAGAGATATCCCTAGCATCTAACTTAGATTATAACAGCATTTCCTATCCAAATCAGAAAGAACCTTTTTAATTTTTTTACTAAAAGTCAAAACAAATTGGTGTTGTAGAAATATCAATTAGGATATATGACACAGACTTCTATATGTATGTTATCGTATTTTTTTTTTTTTGATAATCTGGTGTAATGTAGTAAGGTCCAGACTAATCTTTGGGTCGAAGTAAACCATGTGATTAGAATATAGATTTCTCTCACTAACTTGAAGATCGAACTTGAGATGGGACAGACGGTATGAGATGGGACAGACGGTATGTACTTATCTCACCAATTGAACTAATTAAGTTGGGTTATCGTATTTACGTTACCAAATTCTCAAGTGAATAGATGAACTATAATACCACTCATTAAATTATAAGAAAATGGATGTTGCTGTGTATATGTATTTCACTCGCATGTTTATAGTTTATGAACACGAAATCTTTCACAAGCTAAACAAGAAAAGGTTTATAACTTTCATGGTTTAGCAAATAAACTAAGATGCATTACCAAAAAAATAAACAAAAAATAAAATAAACTAAGATTATTGTGCCTTCGATACAAAAAAAAAACCTAAGATTTGGGATTTGATTTGAGACCCACGTTGATCACTTTTTCACTTTTTATTTCTCACATTTGTTTAGGAGCAATTGATCTTTGTCTCCGCGACTTTTTCCTACTTTTTAATTTGGGCATATTGCCTTTTTTTATTTTAAATTAAAAATGTTATGTCCAACAAGCTAAAAGTTCCTAAATACACATTTTTTATATACCGTGTTTAATTTGGTTTTATACTAGTCTGGGTAATAACTCCACTAATAAGTTTTGGTTTACGTGTTTTTTCATGCTACTAATCTGTTTGACCAAAAAGAAAATTGAACCCCCAAATTGATATAGCTACCTGTAATTCACTAATTTACACGGACTGGATGTGACATACATGTGTATGCGTCTGTGTGTGTAAATCTGTATCTACATCACTTGTGCAAGTGGCTGGTGAGGGGTGTTCTCTCTCGCACATAGTGGGGATCAGAAAAAGATATCACTAACTTAGATTCTCTATGGATGAGTTAGTAATTAATAATATCATTTATATTTTGCTAAACATATATATATATATATGTGGAAAAAAAAACATATATATATATATATATATTATAATTATAAAGCTTAACTACGCACAAATGATGATCAATTACATAAGAAATATCAAAATGGTAGAATCTATGCTTTCTGAGAAAGGGAGAAACCGAAACGTTTTCCAAGACAGATGGAACACATCAACTTCTATGGATGCTTGGATGGTTGCCTATAAAATATAAATAGTATATATCTAAGAAGGCACAATAAGACGATCCTAAGTTTCAGTCGCCTATCCACAGGGGCTTGGTGTTTATTCGTGTCTAAGTATATGACGCCTAGATTTTGACGGAATGACTAAGGATTTCAGACATAATTTCCCCAGTAAAGAGCTGACATAAAAGAACTCGTAAAGCTCTGTTCATGGAAAGAGTTAGGTAAAAAGAACATACCTTTTTTGTCCAGGTAAAACGCAATGCAACGTAGCTTTTTCTTAAATTCCGAGGTCAAAACTCGGAAGGTCGTTCAAATGTGTCTTTGAAAAATCATATGGACCACCAGATGAGCTTTCAGGCACCAGCAACTGTTGGCAAAGTAGCAAATATACGTTAACTGGGAACAGATGGTTTAGTTGTATAGAACAAAAGAAGATTACGTTCTCATAAAAGAGGTAGAGGAGCCAAACCTGCGAAGAATCTGCAATGTCGGCTTCATGGGCGATTTTCCGATCTCCGGATACTATTTTAGAAGATCAACCAGCAGATTGTGACAGGGAAAAGATGAGATTTCGGAAATGTTTGTAACCAAAATTTAATTACTTAGGTAGGCAAATGATATTTTGTTGTAGTTAAACACGTCTACTTGTTAACTGCCAATTAAATTGATCGAACAAAATTTATGGTTACCTGACTTCTATTCTACGTAGGAAGTCAGATATGGCTTTTGTATATTCAAAATTCAAATATTATTCCTCACGGAAAACATAAAAGTTCCCAGAGATTTACGCGTTAGGCATAAAGAGCCTGATACCCGAACACACCCCTTGATATGTGATTGTTTCAAGAATTATAAAACAGGGTCATCATATCAACAATTAATTCGAATATGATTCTGTAATTTCTGTATAGTTTTCTCTATGGTTTATCGTTGTATCTTAGGCATTACGTTGTCTGTTTTTAAATTCGTTCAAGGTTTTCATTCCACGCAAATTCTTACCGTACTTACCTGTTGATGGAACAGACTCCTCCATTGCGTGGCTTTTGCAGGTATCAGATTCTGAAGGCACTTTTGTTGGTGACACTGACGTTTGAGGATTATCATTAGAACACTTCTCTGCAACATTCCCTGGGGTGGTGGGTCTCTGAAGAAAGGAGAGTATTTGGTTGACTGCAAAGAAAAACACTCATTCATGATGTTTGTTCTTACGAGGTTACCATATGAAAAACAACTGAAGCATACTAAAGAATATCGACCGACCATCACGTAAAGTCTTGTGTGAAGTCACGCTCTTGCTTAACTTATTAGTCTCGGATCTTGAATCCTTACAGGGCTTACCTGCACATTCGTGTGGAAAAATTTTAGGAGGATACAATATGTTTAAGCTATCAGATAAAACTTCAAGACTGGGACGCCAGACTCATAACCAGAAAGATTGTGTTTTCGCTTTAAAACATTGGTTGGCTGGCAAAAGTGGCTTGGGAAGCATTAGGTCTAGAGTTCGAGTTCAATTATGCATAAACAAGTTCTTGGGCTATGTAAATTAAGGGTCTAAAATTTATGTGATCCATATGAAAAAATGCTTTCCATGACTTCTTCTAATTATTGAGGCAATGCTTTGACACCGCCGTTGTTGTTAAAGAAAGAAAATCAAGATACTACTTGGATAAAAACACGAAATTTTGTTCACATATATCTAGTACAACAGGATACCTAATCTTACCATCAGAAGAAGTGTTGGTCAAAGGGTGACCACTGCTTATGTAGGCTTCTTCATCGGCTGAGCCAAGCGGCAATGTGCCTGCATACTTACGGTTAGTCATTGAGAGTACAAGCCCAACAAAGATCCACATAGTGTCTATAGTTTCTTTCAGAGCCAAAATTTAAAACTAAGTTTATATACAGATTTTGGTTGAATGACCATCTTAGTGCAGTTGGAATTGCAAGTGTAATGTCTCACCTGCTCCAGATCCTTGAAAAATCATCAAATCTAATTCTACAGGCAAGAATTCATAGCAATTTCAATATATGGGTTAAGGACGGTTATAATATTTTTCACTGTATCCATCTTTATGAGTCTATCTGTATATGCCTGTTAACATTTATTGTTGACTATTTATATGTTTACCAAAACTTACACATAAGACCATCTCAAGGTATGCTACATGAAACAGACACAGTTCTATTGTACATGTATGAGACAACAAATTCTGAAATGAGTGGATGCTAGATTTTTGCATTGATGAAATCCAACATTTTGTGGCTGATAACCTCTATTATAGACAACTATGTAAACAGAGCAAAGTAGGGGTAAGAAAGAAGTTAAGCATATCGAAACCTTTTGTTCTTGGTTTTACTCCATCTGGACTTGGTGCACCATATTTCTGCATTTCTCTCTTTTTGAATACTGAAAAGGTATAAGAAAAAATTATGAATTTGCATTGCACTCCTTTCAATTCAAAGCTAATGCAAGGATTACTCATTAGTCATGAGAAGGCCATGCTTGATAGAAATATGGAGTCACAAACTTACCATTAACCAGATAACATTGCTAACAACTTTACTCACCTCTAATCATTTTTTGAGATGGGCTGAGACTCTTAGCTGGAATTTTATTCACCGAGTTAGACTTTCTCTCTTCTGCTAGAAAGTAGAAACAAAAGGCCAATCAATGGAACAGACTTTTGGAAACAAAAATCTTCAGAGAGAGCAATCTGGGGTTTTGATAGGAGAAAATGATACCAGAATGAAGAGAACTCTTGTTGAAATTGGGTCTGAGCACTGCAAATGACCTGCGATTACATTTTTTATCACTTGATAGGATCTTTGGATCAGATGCCGCCTTATTTTTCTCCACGGGACAACCAATATCCACGAGATATGCTTGAAATGTGAGCGTTTCACCAGAGCTTACAACTTCATCTGTCTTCAAGATCCTGCTTTCAAGCAGATTATCAGCTTCATCATAGAGCCTCACCTGGTTTTCAATTCACTGGGTTAGATCTGAATATAGCTATCAAGCAGTTGAAGATTACATAGAAAGATCCTTATAAGGAGCTTCAAATTCAGTCATCGTGAGTGCAAAAACCCGATAATCACATAATAATTCCATCGCACTTGACAATTAGTGAACAGTTAGCACAATACGTGACTAATGTCACAAGCGTCTACTGAAAAACCAGTAAAAAAATCAACCAGACTATGAAAAGAAAATATCAGAGCAACCGATCCTATGAGAAACGAAAAGTTTATCGGAATGAGTTTCATGGATCAGCAAAAAGTATACCGTTCATTCTCAAAATTTCTTTTCGGAATCCGTTACGAGTTGCCAAATCCACATTTACACACTCCAGTTAAGCTCGGTCAGATTAGAAAATCAATCAAACGCGAACCCGAAATCAGATTATGGCACCGACTGTAAACATCTTTGAATTATTTACTCCTCGATTGAAAAACAACGAGCGAGCTCAAAATCAGCTCATCACTGGATATATTTCACGGATAGTCACCGAAAATCATTCCATCTCCGAGAACTATTCAACCATAGATTCCAAATTAATCGATTATCTACAGATTCTTGATGAACAATCAAACGAAAATTCGTTTAAGATGAAATAACGCCGATTCTCGCGATTTTTTTAGGGAAACCAAATCGACTTGAAAAAACAAGAATGAGTAGCGAGAATACGACGCATATCGTTGGATCATTTTGAGATCTTCTAATGGATTTGAACTCAGAATAGCAAATAAATGTTTTAAACAGAAGAAAACCTTTCTAGTGGAGATGAGAAAATCCAGATAACCGTCATGGTAGACCTTCCTCTTCTGCTTAATATGCTTCGTGTACGTCACTTCCCATCTCTTCTTGTCCTCCATTATTCTCCTTCTTCTTCTTCTTCTTCACTTCCTTCGCTTCCTCCCTCTCTCCGCAAAAGCTGTTTCGCGTTTTGCGGTTTCGGAGCTTTGACAATTTTCAAATTGGGCCGCGAAACTTTTGGTTCGGCGCCGCTTAGGCTTTTCCGCTTGCGTTATGAGAAGAAGTAACGAATTAATTTTATTAGCACCCCCATATTCTTGAATATTTGCAAATTATACCGTAAATTTCAAAAAATGGCGTATCTTGGGCCCAAATCACGGTCTAGTAGAGGCAATGACGGAACTCGTAGTTTCTTTTATCCGATCCGACATGTGCGATGGAGATTCGAAAATCTGATATTTGTTCATCGACAGAACAAACACACGAAAACTCGACATTTGAATTCGTATATCAATCAACGGTTATCTATATTAACGAGTATTCACACTACCTTTTATCATAACTTCGGTTGAAATCATGTAATATTTTTCTTGTTCTAATGATCGGAATCCAGTTATAAGAATTTGAGACACGATTTCACGATCCAAATATCTTCTAAAAGAATCTGGTAAATCCCGCATTTCTATAAATTTTCTCTCGTGTCTCTAACACGATACGATAAAAAACACTAATCTCTATCTCTTTTTTCGTCCACTTGCGTTTCAACTCTCTTCCG